ACATGCTCTGAAGCTGTTTCAGTTGGAGGCCGCTCATTTCTTCACTGCTCCACTGTCACACACACACATACACAAACACACAGAACTCACACCCTGTATCATGTGGCCTGAAGGAGGAGTTGGCTCTCCACTCGGCATTGTTCTTCCAAGTTCATTACTCCTCCACTCCTCATTGACGCTTGAACAACAATCTCCCATATTCTTATTGCTGTCATCTAATTACTTCCTGACCACTCCCACACATTCATGGAGGACTTCTGCATCTGGATCACAGCTTCCTCTTTTCCTCCAGCTCATCCCATCCTAGCCCTGCCATCATCCTGGGTGACTTCCATTCCCATACAGACAAGTCACCTGGAATTCAAACCTGGCCTTTTTCACTGGGAAAAACAAGATCCTCAAGAAAATTGTCACCTTCCTTACCCTGCAACCTACTTAAATATCCTTTCTTCCTCCCCTCTAGCCTCAGTATAAGAGGTGTTTCCTCTTCCCTTATGAAACTTGGGCCTCAGTCTGTACTCTGCATTCTGCCATCACCTCTTCCCTACCTCTCCCAGGATTTACCCCAAAAACCCTTCCCAAAGAAGAGAGGTTAGAAACAGAAGGGCAGTAGTATAGGGAATGCCTATATTCAAGAAATAGAACAAAGTCTAGGTCACAACTACCAGAACCCAGCATAAATATGTTGGAGTTTTCAGTTTATTTCCTAAATATAGCAACACAACGTGAAAAAAAAGCAAATAATATGTTATGCATCATTTTTGGTTTCAGGGCTTTTTGAAATGAATAATCATATTAACCTCAGACCTGGTAATCTGGGATACTTCGTGCAGGTGTGGTAATGAAACCCCAAGAGAGATATTAGTAAATCTGGAAATGGTCCAGAGGAGAGCAATTAAAATAATCTAAGTGAAAAAGAAACTTATGTTTTAAGAAAGACTAAAGGGATAAAGAAACTCTTCACTCTGGAAAAACAGCTAGAAGAGTCAACAGCAGCAACAACAGCAATGATAATGATAGTTAACAATTGAGTGCTCACTACGTGTGAGATTATTCTAAACAGCTTATATGTGTCATCTTAATCCTGACAATCATTTTATCAGGTAAGTACTGTTATTTTCCCCGCGTTACAGATGGGGAAACTGAGGCACAGTGAAGTTAAGTAACTTGTCCAATCTCTCAGAGGTAGTAAAAGAAAAGCCAGGATTCCAACCCAGCCTGATTCTAGAGCATATGCTTTTAACCATGGTAGTATGGATCTTCCAGCAAACAGATCTTAAAGTTATGAATCACAGTGCAAGGGAGCATTTACGGTGGGCAGTGGGGGTGGGTAGGATGAGGGAGAGTAATGGGGGAAAATGAGGACAACTGTAATTGAACAACAATGGAAAATAACTAAGTAAATAAATAAATAAATAAAAAAGATATGAATCAAGTAACCACAGTTTTGTTTACTAAGATTCAAAACTTGAAATACCAAGGCACCACTTAATGCTTTGAGAGGAGTAGATTGTATTGTTATTTGAATTTTTTATACTGAGTACACATCATTTTTGTAAAGAAAACTATTAACCGGATGCAATTTCAATATAAATATTGAAAATCCGAGTTTACCCGGAAGGTAGTAAACTTCTAGAATTTGTTACCCAGGGAGATTGTAATAAATATGAATAGCTTGAAGAAAGATTTGGTACCCAGAATAGATACGGACCTTTTATAGATACCTATCATAGTTGGGAATGTATTCCTAGAGAAAGTGGAGTTTTTAACCACTTAAGAAAGGACAGAGTGTGCTAGATGGAGGGAGAATATTTGTGGGAAATGGAGACACGGTTGAGTGGTGTACAAAGTTACTTGTCTAGTTGGGTGGCATGCAACGAAGTTAACTAACTTGAAGACAATTCTAGAATTGCAGTGATTTCTCTATTCAGTGGACTGTCCTAGGGAAATGAGATGAGTCTTCAAAAATAGTATCTGGGTAGGAAACACTTCAAACATCATCCTTACCTTTAATAACATTCATATCATTTATCCACTGTGTATATGGAAAATGCCTGTTTCTTTGGGAAAACTAAAGGAACTTCTGGAGTCACTTAGGAATTTAAATGCTCTTTCTCATGAGATGTGACTCTTGTTCTAAGAACCCATGAAAACAGTGTTGCTCCTAAACATACCTTGCATCTTTGGGATTAACTTTGACCAGTGTATGAGTGGACCCAAGGTACTTACTTATATGAATCATACAGTCTGTGGTAACTGTGACAATGAATACATGAATACAATACTTTGGCTTACCCTTCAGGTTGGAGTCCACAGCTAAGACAATTAAAATCTCACTCCATCCCTAGCCGGTGTGGCTCCGTTGGTTGGAGTGTCTTCCTGTAACTGAGAGGTTGCTGGTTCAATTCCTGGTCAGGGCACACGCCTAGGTTGCAGGTTTGATCTCTACTTGGGGTGCATGCAAGAGGCAGCCAATCAATGTTTCTCTCTCACATAGATGTTCTCTCTCTCCCCCCCATCCTCCCCCTTCCGCCCTCCCCCTAATAAACCCTAAAAAAAATCTCACTCCATGAATATGGGTTAACCACTTCTTTCTAGAAAATGTGGCACTAGTCCTAGTTTCTTTTGCCCTCACTACATGGGTAAGAGATTCAAAGGAAGATAGCGGGGAATGCATTTTAAGAGGGTAATGGAGAAAACAAAATTTAATGCCTGGACACAAGTCCCTTTCCTGAAGACTACCATAATGCAAATATTAAATTCCTTACTGGCTCTTTCTCTTTTTTAAAAAAAAAAATATTATCTTTTCATTTTTTAAAAAAGATTTTATTTATTTTTAGACAGAGGGGAAGGGAAGGAGAAAGAGAGGAAGAGAAACATCAATGTGTGGTTGTCTCTTGTGCGCCCACTACTGGGGATGTGGCCTGCAACCCAGGCATGTGCCCCGCCTGGTAATTGAACCCGCCACACTTTGGTTCGCAGGCCGGCACTCAATCCACTGAGCCACACCAGCCAGGTCAGTAAATAATCTTATCCTTTTAAAAGGAAGCAACAAGACTTCAACTTCTTTAAGAAATCTCCTAGTCATTTTCTGCTTCAGAAAAATTAATATTAGAAAAGGTAATTTAATAGGGTACCTAAAAATGCTAATTTTGATTTGACCATTATCAAAGCCAAAACACATTTTTAATAGTTTTTTTTGTCGACTATCTTTTCTATCTTGTAATCTCCCGGGGTGGAAAAGGAAGTATTTTCCTGTCTGGTACAGAGAGATTGTTTCCTGGTTCTACCTGATTGTGAGGTTTATAAATAGAACTACATATGTAAGGAATACATTATACTGTACTTGACATTGATCAAGTACTATTTCAAAGCTTGGTTTAGAGGTTAAGAAATTGGAGAGTTCCCAGAGAAGAATAATGACCATAATTAAAAGCTTGGAAAATGGGATCCAGGACAAAAACTATATAAAGTTGAAGAAATCTGATAATTCTTGAAGGCCTTTTATTTTCTGGCTTTTTCATCTTTGAGGAAGCTCAAGTATATTAGAAAATGTTTATCATCAATCAAAGGATTATAAAATTTAAGACAGTGTATAAGTCCACAGAGACTTGAACCCAATTCAAATTCATGGAAGGACTCTATAAAGAACTTTTCAAATAAGGGTATATCCTTCCCCCATTCTTTCCCATAATTTATTAATTCATTTAGCAAACATTTATTTGAATGTCTACGACATGACAGGCAATGTTCTAGACATAGACAGAAATCTCTGTCCTCTTGGATCTTACATTACAGTGGGGTAAGAGAGACAGTAAACAATAATAACACAACAAATGCAATAAATAGGTAAATTATAGAGTATGTTAGGTGATAAAAATAAATAGAACAGGCTAAGGGGATTGGAAGGGAAGATTGCAAATTTAAAAGAGGTGGTCAGGATACATCTTCAAGCACAGGAGAGTGAGAAAACTGATGCAGCAGAGGAAAGAATGTTGATCATACTATGCATTTACCTTGTGATGTCCATTTTACAATCTTGTGCCAGTCAGGGTACAATGGAGGAGTTGATGCAGAGTTGTTGGGGGGAGGATGAATTCGGTTTTGGCCATATTAAGTTTTAAGTGCCCTAGGATAACAATAAATGACCAGCAGGTAGTCAGAAATGCAAGCCTGGAGCTGAGGAGACACATTTGAGAAGAGATGTCAATTTGGATATATGGATGACAATGGCTGAAGCGGTGAGCGGTGAGCGTGAATAGGTGAGCTAGCCAAAGAAGAGCGGAGTGAAAAGAGGTCAAGGGAAGAGCCTTACTATTAAATGTCAACATTTTAGGGGATAAAGACAAAGAAAAATCGTGAAAGAAGAGTGCATTTTATTCTAATCAGAGAGACAGATGGGGACAGAGACGACATAGGCCTACTTTGTCAGCATCCTTATATTTCTCCCTTTTCATTTCTCCCTAATGTAAACTGGTTCTCTTCACGACAAAACACTCCCACAGTGGTACACCCCTTTGGGCGTGAATTCTTCTTAAAGACCTTTGGAAGGAGAAGGGAACTAACTTTTGTTGAGCATCCCCCGGAGCGTGCCACGTGTTTGAGTCTCAAAATACACTGGCTGCTTTCCTTTGCACCCCACCCGCCTCCTCGCTTTCACACTCTGGCCACCTCCCGTAGTGCCGGTCCCCAAGGGGCTGAAACGTAGTAAAAGCCAACACAAAACAAGGGACACAGCCTGAGGGAAAAGCAAAAAGAAACAAACAAAATGAACAAAATAAAGACCCCCCGGTGGAGAAGGAAACCCAACACCAAAGCACTTTAACCACCACCTCCAACCGCTCCCCCAGCCCTCTGCCCCACCCTGGCCTCTCCACAGGCCCCGCCCCTTGCCCCAACTCTTTTGCTGGCGCCCTTCCTCTCCAGAGCTTCCCCATTGGTCTATTAATGCCTCTTCTTTTACGCCTCTCTCCATCAGCTCCACCCCTCGCAGAGAGGCAGTGCAGCACCAGCTGCCTTGCAGACACTCGCGGACTTTTTCCCGCGTGCTTCTCCCTCCTTCCAGGCATTCGTGTTTCCGTTTTCTGAAGGCTCTTTGGTTTTTCCACCTTTGTAAGGCCCTTCGCGCCCAGTGATCCAGTGACGTCATCTCTTTGCGCTGCGTGGACACCCGCTGTTGGAAGAGGGAACTGCTTCCCTGCCCTTCACTGCTTTCGTTGGGCTGCTGCTCACCCGGAATAATGGCGTTGTCACTGTGGAAGGGACTGGTGGGCATTGGCCTCTTTGCCCTAGCCCACGCGGCCTTTTCCGCTGCTCAGCGTAAGTGCCTGGGGGACGCAGACCGCTCTGGTGCGGGATTTCGGGGACGGCGTGTGGGCGCACCACAGAGGGAGTGTGAGACTGAGGGTCCCAGGAAGGGTCATTCCAGACCTTAGAGTTTGCAGTGACTACGAGAAGCGGTGCGGGGCTCCCGAGGGGAACATTGAAGCAGCGTTATAGGGGGGGTGTCTGGAAGAGGGCTCAGAGCGGGACACATGGTGAGCAAAGAGGGAGTCTATCTGGGAATCCAGGACAAGTGATGTCAGATCCACCGCGGGACTCATTAGGCAAAGTGTCAGATTAAGAGCCTCGTATGTTCATGGTCCCATGACAACTAGGTGGACAGCATCTTGTGTGCTTCTGGACTGTCCAGGCAGTGACTGAGAAGTTATGTGACCATTTGCCTCAGGTAGGGACTGGTAAGGGGAAAGAGCACTGACCTAGGAGTCAGGAGGGCAGGTTCTTAACTTGCTTTGCCATTAAATCTGTGACCTTGGGTAAGTCATGTCACACAGAATGACAGAAAGTTTAAATGAAAAAAAGGTAGAAGTACATCATACAGATAAAATTGTATCGTTAAGAAGAAAGTTGGAGTCCAGCAGAGGATGCAGTGCAGTCTTGAGAGAGACGATCTGTTTTGACGTCTCTTGTAGACCAAGGGTCAGCAAACTCTGACACGTGGGTCAAATCTGGACTCCCTCCTGTTTTCATAGTGAGCTAAGAATATTTTTACATGTTTAATTTTTGGGGGGAGAGCAAAAGAATATTATTTTATGACTCATGACAGTTATATAAAATCAAAGTTCCAGTGTCCATCATTGACGTTTTATTGGCACACAGCAATGCCCATTCACTTAGGTATTGTCTGGGTGCTTTCTAAGGGCAGAATTGAGTTTGTAATAGAAACAGAAAGGACTAAAAATATTTATTATCTGGCCCTTTACAGATAAAGTTGGCTGATCCCTGTCCTAGCCTATAGAGCCCATGAGGGCAGGGACAATTGTGTGTGTGCGTGTGCGTGCGTGTGTGTGTGTGTGTGTGTATTTTGTTTATTGCTGTAATCTTAGAGCCTAGCACAATTTTCCTCACAGTAGGTACTCAGCAAATCTGTTGAATGAATGAAGGACTGAATTCAAACTTGAACTTTATTCCTTTATTTGCTGGATTGCTTTCCTTCCTTAGGAATAAAGTAGAAAATGAAATGTGAATTCCTTCAAAGCTCCAATTTTTTTCAAGCTAAAACCTTTTATTGTTTATTATATATAATTAAAATGATCCAATTATTTTAACTACTTATTATGTACATGCATTATGACATTGTCTGAAGGAAATGCAACTTATTTTTTAAATAAATTTTTATTTAGAAATTTTAGATTTACAGAAAAGTTGCAGAGATACTGCAGAAAGTGACTGTATACCCCTCACCCAGTTTCCACCATTGATAACATCTTACATTACCATGGTATATTGTCACAACTAAGAAACTGACATTGGTATATTACTATTAACTGAAGTCTAGGTTTTATTTGGATCTCACCAGTTTTTCCATTAACGTTTCTCTCTGTTCTAGGAATCAATCCAGCATATCACATTACATTTAGTTGTCATGTTTTCTCAGTCTCCTCCGTTCTGTGCTCCGGGCTTTAATGATAATAATAATAGCTAACATTATTAAGAGCTTACCAAGTGCCAGGAACTGAACTAAGCACTTTGTTTGTATTATATAATTCAGTTTTACCAAAAGCCCTTGAGGTAGCTATTGTTATTATCATCTTTGAAATATGAAGAAATTGAGACACACAACTAGGACATTTGCACAAAAGTACAGAGAAATGGTGGGGCCAGGATTTAAAGACAAGGAGTTTGACTCTAGAGCCTTTGTGCTACACTGCTTTATGAAATTCAGCCTCGGGGAATTTGTTGAAATTGCACAGTGCTTAGGTGCTAGGAGTAGGGTGAGTGATGCCCTGAGGGAGTTCAGTGGCAAGTGGAAAAACAAATGGGTCAAGAAATAATCACAGTAAAGTGAAATAAATGCCATGCTAAAAGTATGTGAAGACACACGGAGACAAGGGCAGTCCTAGAGCCTTGCTTTGGCAAGTGTGGTCGGAAGACCAGCAAGGTTGTAATCACTTTGGAGCTTGTTAGAAATGCCTGCTCCAGATCTATTGAATCCGAATCTGCATTTCAGTTGGATCCCCAGGTGATTTGTGTGCACATTCCTTTGAGATGCACTGCCCTAGGGGAAGGTAGCATTCTGTGAAATATTGCTGCGTTTTGTACCATAGGCTTCAGCTGTAAAATTTTAAGGTCTTAGAACAAGGTCATTGACGTCCTACCTTTAGTTTACAGATGAGGAAATGCCTGGTTAAAGGTAGTATTAGAGAGTCAGATTAGACTTTAGGCAAAGAAGAAAGCTAGCTAGGATCTGAATGGAAGGTAGGAAGTTAGGCAAAACCTATTTTTGGCATTGGTTTGATTTTTCTTGTACAGTTGTCCTTATGATAAACCCTGTAAGAAAAGATGCCAGAAATGTCTCTAAACAAATTCTCTTTTAGGAGTCAATACACTTTTACTAACAACAATTTGGCTTTTTTTAGTTCACAATACATTATTAAATAGGAATTGTGCAAGGTTCATCTAGAAATAGGATTTTCGGTTTTTATGTTTCCAGTGAGGTTAAAATGCCTTTAGGCACTTGTCCCTGCAGTGGGACCTCTATAATGCTCACTGTAGAAAGAGACTTAACATTTTACCTGTGAAGCTGCTTGTGTCATGTCAGATTATGAGAGCAGATAGCACACTGTGATGTCATGGCATGCTCATCTTCACCATAATGAACTTCGTTTTGGCAGAGAGCTCATTACATATCTCATTTAACCCTCACATTATTTCCATCTTCCTGTTCCAGAGACTTAGGCAGTGAAAAGATAGGTACTGTATTCCTTTGGGTCTAAGACACACCCACCCTCCAACATCTCTATTTAAACACTCTGACATTGAAGTAAGTGTTACATGAGAGTGTCTTACATTGAATAAAATAACATAGGTTACAGTAAATTGGAGAGCTGGTTGTATAATCCAGGCTTATCAGCTGCAAAATCCTGAATCTTTTCCTTCATACCTTGCTGTTTCCTCAGGCTAAGGCAGCAGCACAATTATTTAATCACAGAGGCAGAAATTGATGTCCTGGAGTTTTTCCTGTTCCACCACTACCCCAGTGTATTCTCTCAAGAAAAACATTTCCATACCAACTCTATGTGATGGTGGTGCTATTTCAGAGTAGAGATTTTTCTGTAAGCTTACTCATTTTTAAATTGTTAAGAGTTCTTTGACCAGTTAGTGAGAGAAATGATTTGTTTCAGAGGATTCTAGTTTTCCTGTAGTAATGAAAGAAAAATTATGTATAGGTATTTCTTCCTCATACTTACTCACCTTTCATTTTTATCCTCTTTTATAAGATGGCAAAGTGAGAGTAAAGTAGTTCAAGATCAGGCTGATTGCCTTAGAAGAGGTTTTTGAGGAACCCAGGATTAACATTATTTTATGTAGCGCATAAGTCAGCTGCTTCTTTGGTATATTGATTTGCTTGCATTTTAAGGAAGAAAAATGAGCTACAGTTTCCTTAATGGTATGCTTCTGGTTTATAGATCGTTCTTATATGCGATTAACAGAAAAGGAAGATGAATCACTGCCAATAGATGTAAGTTGGTCATTTATGTTCTATTAACATATATTTTAAAAATTAGCCATATACTTTATAATAATATTTTACTTGTTTTTATTCTCTTAAAAGTTTTTTAGACATAAAATTACATCTGTTCTCTTCTTTACTTTTTGTCACTCATTGTAAAACCCGAAGATTTGTAGAAAAATATTTCTGTTTGGTTTCTAGAACTATAGTTTAAATAGTCTTTCTAGAAATTGCTCTTCCATAGTTTGAGATGCACTTAAAAAGTTGATTATTTGACTTCATTTTCTGAAAAAGTTCCTTTTTATATTAAAAGTAAGAACAATAAAAATTAACAAAACATTGTTTAGGAACATATACATAAGAAGTAAAATTAAAGAAAAACAAGGACCTGTTCTTTTTAGCTAAAATGATACGTGAACTTCACTCGCAATTTTTATCTTTGTTGGATTTTAAATTACAAAATAGTAAGTTCTTTGTAACAGAATAAAACAGTAAGTGTAAAAAGTAAATCTGACCCCCCACACACAAAGAAATGACACCATTAATCAGCAATTCTATTTCTATTCTGATGTTTGGAATGTACCATTAGTTCAGTTTTCTTCCTATGCATAAACATTATCTTCATTTATGTCTGTATAGTTCTACCTAATCAAAACACAGAGGTTTTCTTTTAAAACGTTATTATGCATGTGTGTATATATATAGTTTTATAATTAGATTTTTATTACTTAATTTATCTTGACATGTTTTCATGACTACTTATAGATTTACCACATTTTTGTTAATGATGCCTATGGAATTCCACTGTATAGACTAGGTCTTGGTACACTGGTGGTGGAAATGTAACCTGGTGTAACATACGACATTACATTTTAATTTAGGAAGAATAATTGCTTGTGGCTAATTTTGACTTTAGGATCTGTAATTAAGGATATGGTAGATGAGGCTATTAACTCATTCTCCCATCATCTTTGCTTTGTGGTAGATGCATACACATTCATTTATATCTATTTAAAATAACTTCCTTCTGTTTACAAACTGGAAAATTTTTAAAAATAGAGAAAATCACAATAAAAAAATGCTTGTAATCCCATGTTGATTAATGCCAAGCTTGCAAATTTTTGCTTGGACAACCTCTTTGGAAAGCAGTTTAGGATTACCTAATAAAGTTGAATGTACATACTCTACACCAGTGATTCTCCTCCCATACACCAGGAGAAACACATAAGTGTATCCATATTGACAATGTAACACAGGGTAACACAGGAAACAGCCCACATAACTATCAAAAGTAAATGGATAAATTGTAGTATTTTCTCTCTTTTTAAAAAATTTTATTTATTTTTAGAGAGGGGAAGGGAGGGAGAGGGAGAGAAACATCAATATGTGGTTGCCTCTTGTGCGCCCCCTACTGGGAACCTGGCCTGCAACCCAGGTATGTGCCCTGACAGGGAATTGAACCAGAGACCCTTTTGGTTCACAGGCCGGCGCTGATTCCATTGAGCCACACCAGCCAGCGCACATTGTAGTATTTTCATATAATGGAATACAAAAAACAATGAAAACGAATGGACTACAACTATATACTACTACAGGGATGAATCTCACAAAAATTCAAAATATGGAAAAGTAAGCAATATATGTTTTAGAGGTACATACATAGCTGGTAAAATTATAAAGAAAAGCAACTGATTAATACACAATTTGGGACGATAGTTAACTTTGAGAAAGAGGGTGAAGAATATAATTGCAGAGGGACACGTTGGATTTGAAAGATACTGGTAATGTTCTATTTCTTAAGCTGCATGGTGGCTAAGAGGTGTTCTTCTCATACTTTGTGATATTTAACAATATACATTAAAAATTTTAGTTTCTCTTGGAAGCAGATAGTAGTTGATAACTAAGTTTTGAATGGCTCAGTACCTGTTTTTGCTATTTGAGCAAAACCCACAAGTATTTTTGTAGCCAATCCACAGAATTTATAGAAGATTTTATTGTGTTTAAGTCCAAATCCTTTACACTGAGAACTGACTCCTTGACAGGATCTAGAGAAATACCTGTTAGAGGCTAAAAGGAGATGGAAAGAAAATTGTAAATTTTTATAATAATATTTGTATGTAATTTAGTAATTTAATCTTTATACTCACAGATAGTTCTTCAGACACTTCTGGCCTTTGCGGTTACCTGTTATGGTATAGTTCATATTGCAGGGGAGTTTAGAGACATGGATGCCACTTCAGAACTAAAAAATAAGTAAGTTTTCCCCTTTTCATAGGCATTTAATTTCTTATGGGTTTGTTTCACTTACATAATTTTAAATGTATGTGTTCTGGTACATAAAAGTCAGTTTTTACATTTTGATTATACAATCTGTATAAGTAATGAAGAAAAAATATTAAGGCAGTGTTTGATATGATAGGAAAAATGGAAGTTGAATGACTGATTATTGACATGAGAATAAGATATTATGGTTGCTTAAAATTACTTATTGGTTGGTGGAATGGACAGGTAGATAGAAATAGATATATAGGAAGATATTCCCCTCAGAAATTTTTTCCTTCCTTCCTTCCCACTCCTTCACTGTCTTTGCTTCCCCCTCTCTCCTTCCTTTCCTTCTCTCTTCCTTTTTTCCTCTTTTTGTCCTCTGTCCCAGCTTAGTCTTTGGAATAGCAGGTTTTATGTTTCCTCATATCACTTGAACCTAGTCTGTGACATAAACTCTGTTCTCAGGCCCTTTCCTACCCCTGAGTTAAGGAATATTTCTTGTTCTGCTTTCTTTTTTTCCCTCTTGTGCTTCTTCTAAGCATTTTTTTTTGTGAGCTTTGCTTTTTATAAAATCATCCTTTAGCTTTGTTCAATTCCATCTCTGGACTTTACCCACTTTCTTGATCCTGGAAAATTTAACCCTTTACAGTATTTCCTTAGGAGGATTCACAATAAACATGCATTAGAGGAAACTCACCCTCTTTTTCCTTTTTCCTTTATGTTTTAAATAGTCACATCTCGGGCTTCCTGTTTTATGTGGGGCAGTATGCTTGGATTTTTAGGTGGGCTGACTTTGAGATCTGAGTTTTATTAAAGGAAGAATTCTTTTTTCCAGGAAAATAATATTTAAAAACAAGCCAGGACTACCCCTGACCAGTGTGGCTCAGTTGGTTGGGAATTATCCTGTAAACCAGAACATTACTGGTTCAGTTCCTGGTCAGGGCCCATGCTTGGGCTGCCAGTTCGGTCCCCGGTCAGGGCGCATACAAGAGGCAATTAATAGATGTTTCTCTCTCATATCGATGATTCTCTCCTCTCTTTCTCCCTCCCTTCCCCTCTCTCTTGAAAGAAAAAAAAAGAAAACTGAAAGCCATACCTTTAGGTGTTTGTGAACTTTTTTTAGACTACATATCTCTCACTGGAAAAGAAGAAAGGGTGCTCCACTCTCACTACTCACTACTATTCTTACAAAGAGTCTACTAAGAATCACAGGCAAGGGGCCAGGAAAGAAAGAAGTGAAAGAGAATGGCATTAAGTAGGTGGTAGGAAAATATGAGTTTAATAGGTGGTAGTAAAATACTTGAGTTTGGCAGCAGGTACAGAAGGGCCAAAGGAATTTAAGGAATTTTTTTGTTCTACTTGAAAGATTCTTAGAAAACAGTTTTGTGAAATGATCATAGGGCTTGAATAGTGAGGGCCAAATGAGACTAATCAAAGGTACCATCTCTGTACTGGTTTTTTAAAAAAGGACTATTTGGCATGGGCTAATTTCAGATCTACAGAGGTAATTAAAGCTCAGCAGTTACTCGTGTTATTCATAGGCATACTGGAAGGACTGGCTGAATAGAAAAAAGAATGCTAAGGCTATATGTTGCTTTTCCAGGTTTCTTACTTTCCTTATAAAGGAGAAAAATAAGATACAGTATGATTACCACTTGTTGTTTAATATCGTGGGTTTAAACATAGTTTAAAATATAATCCATAGCAAATTCTTAATTCATCAGAATTCTGCTTATTTTCAAATAGGCTTTTATAAGGATTTATCTAAAATTGATGCCTTTTTTTTCTTTTAAGGACATTTGACACATTAAGGAATCACCCATCATTTTATGTATTTAATCACCGTGGTAGAGTACTGTTCCGGCCTTCAGACACAACAAATTCTGCAAACCAAGATGCATTATCCTCTAACACATCTTTGAAGTTACGAAAACTTGAATCACTGCGTCGTTAAGATTTTTACAAATCATAACAACCATACAGGACACAGAGCTGGAATATTGGAGTTTGGGGTATAAAACACTCCCCCATCAGTATTTATATTGATCTTTTAGACCTAATTTTAAAAAGTCTGTGACCCTTGTTTGTACACTGTAATCAAATTATTATTTTTTTGGAGAATTTCAAGATTTATTTATTTTTTTTTAATTGAATTTATTGGGGTGATATTGGTTAATAAGATTATATAGGTTTCAGGTGTACAATTCTAATATACATCATCATGTATATTGTGTGTCCACCACCACAAGTCAAATCTCCTTTCATCACCATTTATTCCCCCGTTTACCCTCTTCTACATGCCCCCACCCTTTTTCCCCTCCAGTATTACCATACTGTTGTCTGTGTCTGTGAGTTGTTTTTTTTGGCTTAATCCCTTCACCTACTTTGCCCAGCTCGCCAGCCCCCACCCTCTGACAGCTGTCAGTGTTCTCTATCTATGAGTCTGTTTCTATTTTATATGTTAGTTTATTTTGTTCATTAGATTCCACATAAAAGTGAAATCATATGGTACTTCTCTTTCTCTGACTGGCTTATATAACTTAGCATAATACTCTCCATCCAGGTCGATTCATGCTGTCACAAAAGGTAAGATTACCTTCTTTTTTACTGCTGTGTAATATTCCATTGTGTAAATGTACCACAGCTTTTTTAACCACTCATCCCCTAGTGGGCACTTGGGCTGCTTCTAGACCTTGGCTATTGTAAATAGCACTGCAATGAACATGAAATTATTGATGCAGTATAAATTATCTGTGAAATGAGTCTTTGCTCTTTCATAGTCTTCTTTTTTTCATTTAAAACAAATTTACATTTTTTGTAAGTCACTCTTTTGAACACATTTCTTTGGAAAAAATGTTTTGTAATTATTTATTAGATTTCTTTTCTTTTGCACTTCAGTTTCTAGGATCCTTTGGAAACAGTGTGACTACTGCATTTTGCAGAATGAATGATAGTAAAATTGTCTTCGTTTCTTAACAACAAATGGACTTCTCTATAGAGATATAGAAAGGTGACATCAGTATTTCTTATGCCCCCTAAGATGTGACTCTGCTTCAGCAGATACTTTCCAGTTTTTAATTTATCCATGACTTCTCACAACACCTGACTCCTATATACCTTCTAACATCAACTATCTTGTTTTGTCATTTCTCTGGAGTTCTGTGTGCAGTGAGCAATTTTTATTCAGAAATTATTTGTCATAACAAATATATTTAATAGCTCACCTTGCTGTAAAGCTACTTGTGTTCTGTTCATTTCACTGTAAAAATATTCCCTTAATTGGTTATGTAGTATAAGAATAGTTGAAGATACATCAAAAAGGCCCTTTGTGATATAATTACCCTGCCTATGTAGAAGAATAGTAATCACTGAGAAAAGCTGATTACTTGTCATTAGCCAGTTTAACTTATTCAAAATCTTTTATTGCATACTACACTAGTGAATTAATAAAAATAAACTTCTCATTAAAGGTAGATTTCAAAGGATTTGGACCCAATATGTTCTAAATATTTGGAACTAATGCCTTTAATGTTTTTTTAAAAAATTAAGGTAATTTAAGAAGTTGTTTGGAAGCTTCTGACTTCTAACAGGCTTAGAGTTTTCCATCTTCATGGTATGTTACTGAAGATGGGGATGAGGACACAGAGTAGAATTATTTTAGAAACAGTAATTTTAGTTTTAAGGACATTTGGCTATCTCTTTGATTTTCAGAAAGCTTAACATTTCTTTGTAGAGAACATTGCTTTTATTGAATTCTACAGGTATGAAAACATTGCTTACGTTGAATTGTATAGATATAAAGGAAATAACTATGCAGATTTGAAAAGGAAATGTGCCTATAGGCAAGGGTCACATGATGCCCTTACCTTTGATGGCATTTTTTCCATTAGAAATGAACCTCAGTTCTTCTACTCTGCCAGGTAATGCACAACTCCAAAGCAGGAGATTATTTTTTCATTGGGTTTTTAATGTTTGTTTAGCCTTGTTTTTCTAATCTAGTCTTTCTGTGGAACACTGATTCTGCTAAAAAGAGCAAAGTTAGAAATCTGATAATGTAAAATAATTTAGAAATGAATTAAAAGGCGAAGTCAGGGGTTAAAAGTGGTGATAATAAAATTAACATAGTGTGTGAGAAACCCATTCCTTACATCAGGTTTTTATACCATTTCCTCAGATATGACTAGATTCGCAAGAGCCTCTTGTTTTCTTCTCTCTTGGGGCTGTCTTCTTTTCCTAATATGTTTTTATAACAACTTTTTAAAGATATAATTCACATACCTTATAGCTCTCCTATTTAAAAGGTACAATTCAATGGATTTATAATATAGTCACAAGTTCTGCAACCATGACCACAGTGAATTTAAGAACATTGTTATAACCCCAGAGAGAAACCCTGTACCCTTTAGCGCTCATAGCTCATCTCATCGTAATGCCTCCCAGCCCCGAACAACCACTAATCTACTTTCTATTTGTATGACTTGCCTATTCTTGTCATTTAATATAAATGAATTTGTATAGTATCTGGTGTTTCATGACTGGCTTCCCAAGTAGGGTTTTGTTCTATGTGGAATGAGAACTTCCCATCTTGAGAACTGTGACTGCTCTGAAAGGAAGTGGTTGGCAAAATCAGTAGATGTAAAGACAGAGGGTTTCTTAGTCAACCTTGTGCTGAATAGTTTTTCCTCATAACCAAATATTCATGATATACTACTACTTACATTTAGTCTAGTCTCTAGAATGGATATTGAAATCTTTGCCTGCCTCATCAAGAAAGTCCTGCTAAAAATGATGCCAAATAATTTGGCAGATAATTGACATAGCAGTTTTCAAGTATGTCTCACATTGGTAGCAGCTTATATACCTTGGGCCAGGTGAGCTTCCCAAATTTCTTTAATTTCCTCCAGTGAATTACTGCTATCTTTTCCAAGTATGCACCATAGGACTGGAATTGATTTGCATGCATCATGACACTGCTAAATGGGTTAAGTTCAAAATTTCATTTCTAATGCTATTAAGACAGCGCATGACTACCTAGGGTAAGTCCCAAAAATGCAGTCATGTGAGCTAGTTTAGCCTGCAGGTGACTATGATTTCAGTGACATTCAGAAGTTTGAACTATTCAAAGCTCTCTAGAATATGGGAAATCTCACTTATTAATAATCAGGGAACCAGCCGAATGCCATGGGCTAATGGCTCAGCTGCAGAAAATGTAGATTGGTGAATTGGAGACTATGATGCTCTGTAACTCCCTAATGATTGTTTCCTTAGCTCTGTAGCTTCTTCAGTGGCATGGCAACATCTTCCTGGTTGTATGTGGCCTGTTTCCATGATGTATTGAGTAGTGTTGTTTGTTGTGAGCATCAATGCCTGTAACACCAAGCAAAGCACATTCTTTTGAATGTTTCCTCTCTTTTAATGACCTGCCCTGTCTAATAAATAAATGATTCTCTCACCTTTCCTCTGTTTTTGGTAGTGTTTTCTTTTTACTTTTAATCACATTTCCTTCTGCTTCTCTGTCCCCAGAAAAATGTAAGCTAATTTTATAACTGCTTTATCCAATGTGATGCTGTTTTACCAAATTCAATGGATACTTTACTTTTTATTGTATATGTAAAATCTTATTGCAATTTCATGCTTTTGGGGGTCAAAATAGAATGTAATCTTATTTATATTTATAAATTATCAAATGACCTTTGGGGTATAAGAATTTTGGTCCTTAAGTAGCAAGTGGTATCTAATCATTTCATCACTAATTTGTTATATAGCCAAGCTGTCATTATAAAATGTCACTTTATACTTAACAGGACATCATTATTAAAGCATTAGGGGGCAAATCTAAAGTTTAATGAAAATCCAAAAGGAAGCCCTGGTTTGCAAAACTTGGCACTTATCTACAGTATTTTTAAAAATACCATTGCCAATATCTAAATCTACCTAGAAATATCTCAAAACAACCTACTAATCAAGTATTCTTTAAAGAGGAAAAGAGAAAGATATGAACATAGCAAAAAAAAAATCACATGGTACTGAAAGAAATGAAATGAAAACTTACCCCTTCCTTTCTACTTCTAGTACTTCCCTCTAAAGGAAACCAGCTTAAAGTGTCTTGTTTATTCTTTCAGGGAAAAAAGTATTTGCCAGCAAATATAAAACTTTTTAAAAGTTTACATTAATGGAATCAGATGGTATTATACTCTTTTATACCTTGCTTTTTCGCTGTCTTATAAGATCTTTCTGTATTAGCATATACAGAAATATCTCACTTGTTTAATGAATGTGTGATATTCCAATGTATGAATATGTTATAAATTTTAAACTTTTTTTATTGCTAAACCATATTGCAGTGAACATACTTGTACATATAATGAGATTATACTGACAGGGTTTGCTGGGTCAAGGGTATTTTTTATTTCAGTAGTTATTGTGAAACTGTTCTCCAGAAGTCTTTGCCCAGTTGTATTACCACATATAATATATAAGAATAATTATTTACAAGGTCCAAGCCAATACTGGGTACCAATTTTTTAAAATTTGATCATCTGAAAGTGAATAAATGGTATCTTGAAGCTTAATGAAGCTGTAATGCATTTTAATGAAGGAGATGGAACACATTTTTATGTTTATTTCTTACATTTCATTTTCTGTGAACTGTGGTCATGCTCTGTTTTCTATTATGTGATTTTTCTATTGATTTATATGTGCTCTTTGTAAGCTATGAAAATTGGTTCATTGTCATACATTTAATAATGTTTTCCTGAGATTTATTTATATGTGTAGTTTTACTTATCAGTGTTTATAGCTTCTATGATTTGTGCCTTGCTCAGAAAGGCCTTCTTTATATTTAAGAATAAATATAATGTATTTTTCCAATACTTTAAATTTTTTAACCTTTAAATCTTTGATTCATTTGGAATTAATTTAGGTAGAAGAAGTGAGGTAAGGATTCAACATTTTTCTCCCCTAAATATCTATCTGGTTATTCCAATATTATTGACTTTTTAAAAAGACTTTATTTACTTTTAGAGAGTATGAAAGGGAAGGAGAAAGAGAGGGAGAGAAACATCAATGTATGGTTTCCTCTTGCTCCCCCACAACTGGAGACCTGTCCCACAACCCAGGCATGTGCCCTGACTGGGAATCAAACCAGAGACCTCTTGGCTCACAGGCCAGCAGTCAATCCACTGAGCCACACCACTCAGGGCAATACTATTGACTTTTTTACACACTAATTTAAAAAGGTATCCTCATTCCTACATTGAATTTCCATATGTATTTAGATATGTTTTTTATTAAATTAGTGTGACATTGGTTAATAAGATTATATACATTTCAAATGTACATTTCTGTGGTATGTGATATGTATATTGCATTGTCTGTTTTTGAGCTATGTAGTCTATTGTAAAAATTACCAATCTTAATTATTTTAAGTTGTTACACATTTTCACATTTGGCATTGCTTATCTATACCTCATTATTATTACTTTTAGGATTTTCCCCTGGTTATTGTTGCATGTTTATATTTCCAGATGAACTTTAGTATCATTTTTTCCAATTCTGAAATATTACAGATATTTTTCTTAAAATTTTGAGAGATATCAAACTTACAGAAAATATAAATGAATAGTATGATAAATCCAATATAATTTGATTTAGAGTTACCACCCCTAATGTTTTGCCACTTTTGCTTTTGTTCTCTCTAAATGTGCTTTTCTTTTTTTAAAATATATTTTATTGATTATGCTGTTATAGTTGTCCCACTTTTTCCCCATTTGTCCTCCTTTGCCTGGTACCCCCCTTCCCTCCAGCAATCCTCCCCTAGGTTTGTGTCCATGGGTTGTATATGTAAGTTCTTCTCCATTTCCTATACCATTCTTAACTTCCCCCTGCCTATTTTGTACCTAGCAATTATGCTTCTATTTTTTTTTATTTTAATTTATTTTTTCAAATACATTTGTCTCTGCCTCCCCCCCACCACTTTCCCTTGCCCCCTCCCTCCTTCCCTCCCTCAGCTCTTCCCCTTTGGTTTTGTCCAGCAATTATGCTTCTTAATCCCTGCACCTTTTCCCCCATTCTCCCTATTCCTCCTCCCAGCTAATGACTGTCCAAATGATCTCCATATCTATGATTCTGATCCTGTTCTGGTTGTTTGCTTATATATTTTTTAGATTCAGTTGTTGATAGTTGTGAATTTGTTGCCATTTTAATGTTCATAGTTTTGATCTTTTTCTTACATAAGTCCCTTTAACATTTCATGTATTAATGCCTTGGTGATGATGAGCTCCTTTAGCCGTACCTTGTTGGGGAAGCACTTTATCTGCCCTTCCATTCTAAATGATAGCTTTGCTGGACAGAGTAATCTAGGTTGTAGGTCCTTGCTTCTCATCACTGTGAATACTTCTTCCCTGCAAGGTTTCTTTTGAGAAATCAGCTGATAGTCTTATGGGAACTCCTTTGTAGGTAACCCTCTGCTTTTCTCTTGTTGCTTTTAAGATTCTCTCTTTAACTTTTGGCATTTTAATTGTGATGTGTCTCAGTGTGGATCTCTTTGGATCCAACATGTTTGGGACTCTGTGCTTCTTGGACTTGTATGTCTATTTCCTTTACCAAATTAGGGACGTTTCATTATTTTTTCAAATAAGTTTTCAATTTCTTGCTCTCCCTCTTCTCCTTCTGGCATCCGTATTATTTGGATGTTAGTACATTTGGAGATGTCCCAGAGGGTCCTTATACTATCCTCATTTTGTTTTTTTTTAAGTTCTGTTTTCTTGTTGTTCTGGTTGAATGCTTATTTTTTCCTTATGTTCCAGATCATTGATTTGAATCCCAGCTTATTCCCCTCCACTGATGGTTCCCTATAGATTTTTCTTCTTTCACTTCATGTAACCTTCATTTCTTCCTTTATGTTGTTGCCATACTCAATGAATTCTTTGAGCATCTTGATCACCGGTGTTTTGAACTCTGCATCTGATAGGTTGGCTATCTTCGTTTCATTTAGTTCTTTTTCTGGGGGGTTGTTCTGTTCTTTCATTTGGGCCCTATTTCTTTGTCTCCTCAATTTGGCAGCCTCCCTCTGTTTCTGTTTATTAGGTAGAGATGCTTTGACTCCCTGTCTTAGTAGTGTGGCCTATTGTAGAAAAGGCACCTGTAAATTGTGTGGGGCAGAGCCTTTGTTAATTCCGGGGGGAGGGGGCAATGCACTTCACCACTTTGTGTCTCCGTGTGGGGGGAGGGCTTGGAGAGGGGACAATCCCACTTCCTGGTTTCTGGAGGTTTACCCAGCACTTGCCCCATCTCCAGTCACTTCACCCACTTCCCGTATGTGACTGGCACCCTTCCAGCTATTGCCCTGGTGGTGAATCCCAGAGTTGGGTGGGTTTGGGAACATTCTAAGTCCATGCAGACCCTTTAAATTGAGTCTCCTGAAAATTTGGCAATTTGTTCTACCACCCCAGCCCCCACTGGTTTTTTCAGCCAGAAGTTATGGGGATTTATCTACCTGATGCTGGAACCCGGGGCTGTGTGGTCTGGCCTGGGGCTGGTATCATTTGCTCCCAAGGTATTCTTGCCGATTTTTATCCTCCATGAGTGAATGTGGGACTGTTAATTCTGCCACTGCCTCTCCATACCACATCGCATCTCTGTGTCTCTCTGCCCGTCTCCATGACGCTGCCCCTCCTACCTGTCGGGATGAATGTGGCTTCTTTAAATCCTTGGTTGTTGGACTTCCATACAGCTCGATTTTCTGACAGTCCTGGGTGTTCTTTGTTTTGAGATCTAGTTGTAATTCTCTCTATGGTTGTGTGAGAAGATGAAGCATGTCTACCTACACCTCCATCTTGACCAGAAGTCTAAATGTGCTTTTTTCTTTTCCTGAGTTGTTTGCAGTAAGTTGTAGACCTCATCATCATATTATAACATTATGACATTCCTAAATATTTCAGTGTACTTCTCCTATAAGAGTGAAGACATTCTCCCTTTCAGCTACAGTACCATTCTCACACCTTAAATGATGAACCATCCAATATTTCATATTCAAATTTCCCCATGTTTCCCAGAATGCCTTTTATACCTGCCCACACCAAGGGTCACAAATTACATTGGTTAGTGTGTCTCTAGTTTCTTTTAAACAGTCCTTCTACTTCTTTTTTAGAATGGTATTTTCTAAATAAACTATTTTTAGAACTTTCAAATTTATAGAGAAATTGGGAAAATAGCATCAAGATTCCGACATATCCTGCATTCAGTTTCCCCTGTAACTGATGTCATATGTTAGTGTGATGCATTTGATACAATCAAGGAACCAATATTGATGCATTATTATTAACTACAGTCAATGTTCAAATTTCCTTAGTTTTTATCTAATGTCCTTTCTGTGTTCCTGATAGCATCACATTTAGCCGTGATGTCTTAGGCTTCTTTTGGTTG